ATTCTCAGTCTCAAAGTGAATTGCTGCTCTACCCTTCTCAAGACTTCCTCTGTCTCTATTTGTGTGTGTATCTCTCTGTCTCTGTCTGTCTGTCTGTCTGTCTCTCTCTCTCTGTGTGGGGAGCATTATGAAACAAAAGATAATCTGGTTTTCTTACTTTTCAGGTCTCCATTGTCTCTCTCTCTTCCATATAGATGCATGGGGTGGGAATTGCAAGGAAAGGGTCTCACTGATGAAACTGACAATGTGTTCAGTCACTTGCAGCTCCCTTACTTCTTCTGAGCCCTAGTTAATGTTCTCCAGCCCTTTTTCCTACTATGCCTGTGTTCACATCATCTCTTGGCATCGACTCCAGTGACTCTGACAAGCCCATGAATCTCGCCTGGCTTCCACGCCAACTCTATGGAGCGGGTGGACTCCTTTTCCCAGTCCTCCTAAGAACTGGGAAGTTCACAAAAGTGGAGAACAGGCAGAGAGCTCCCACACTGGGCACTTAAACTGTCTCTCCTTAATACTTTTGGCCCTACACAGTAGCATGCTGTGAGTGGGTGATTTTAGCAAGTCTTTCCTCCAGGCAGAGGTCCAACACAGGCACCAACTGCTTCTACCTCTATGCAGCTCTTTCCCAATCAGGAGACATTCTATGGCTTCAGGAAGTGAAACCTCTTTTCCTTGAGCTTCCTGGGGTGTCACATTGGCTCACTCACTCTTGCTCTCTCCTCTAACCGACACATCCCACGTAAGGCTCAAGAGAAATCCTAGTTGCTAGGATTGCTGGAAATGTTGAGAAATTCAGTGACACAGGAAGTACTCTGGGGCCAGGTGCTGGTGGCTCATGCCTGCAATCCTAACTACTGAAGAGAAAGAGATCTAAGGATCACAGTTCAAAGCCAGCCTGGGTAGGACAGTCTATTCAGAGTCTTGTCTCCAATTAACCACCAGAAAACTGGAAATGGAGCTGTGGCTCAAAGTGGTAGAGTGTCAGCTTGAGCAAAAGAACGCAGGGACTGTGGCCCCTGAGTTCAAGATCCATAATCAACCAAAATCAAAAGAGAAGAAAGAAGATGAAGAAAAGAAGAAGAAGAAGGAGGAGGAGGAGGAGGAAGAGGAGGAGGAGGAGGAGAAGAGGAAGAAGAAGAAAAGAAATGAAGGAAGGAAGAAAGAAAGGAAGGAATGAAGGAAGGAACGAAGGACTCAGTTCCTCACACCTTTCTCAGAACTACCTGGAAATGAGAGTTCCCAATAGAACTTTGCAAATAAGGGCTCCTGCTCTACTGGAGTCCGAAGGGGAAGACACACAGACAGAGCCCACGTCTAAGCCTTCCTTCACACTTCTCTTCCTTCCCCTGATTCTTATCTCTCTCCAGCTCCCCTGGATTATGGGGCAACAAACCATGCTTTGCCTACTCACAATATTTTCCTACTATATCTGTCTACTCAACTGCCAACTCTTTAGGAGTTGGGGATTTAGTGTCTTTCACCCTTGCTATGGACAATGGCAAAGCCATCCCTCTCAGTCTTGGAAGCACATCAGGATCACCTTACTTTGTCTTTCAAAATAAATTAAATCATAATATCTCCCTATCGAGTTCATGCCCAGTGGGGCTGCGGACCACTGCTTCAGAAACATAAATGCCCAATGGGAGTAAGAAGACAGGATGCACAGACTGATGTGCAGAAAACCAGGATGCAGAGCTAATCATTTTCAGAATGGGGATGTAATAGAGCCCTAAAAGCTCTAGGTCTTCTTTGAGTATGAATAAGGTTCATGGGTCACAGCAGGTACTTTACCTGTCCTTACTACTCTCTCCTCCTATTGTGTGCCATGCCCACCTCCCATGAGCACTCTTACCCCCATCCAATACCAGTCAGCTGGAGATTGTTCAGGTAAAGACTGGTACACTTGCCACCTAGGGCTTCCTCACCTCTGCTGCAAGATCATCTCTTGAGTGATCCAGAATTCATTGCCTGCCTCCCATCTGCCCATTGTTTTCCATTTAAAGTAGTTCAAGAGATGAGGAGGACATGGGTTATGATGGCTATTTGATTTAACTTCCAAAAAGTTAAGAAAATGCTCCATTATTCCTAACAAAGAAAAGGAAGGACACAAGCTATAAACGCTTCTTTTTATGATGTGTTAACATGAATACTAACTCCCCTGAATTGAATCGTTCTCTGGGGAACCACAACTTACCTGGCTAATTTTTCTTTCTTAAAGGTTAATAGAAAGCAAAGTAAGTTTCCTTTCCCTCCTTTCACCAGTGTGAAAGGAGGCGTATTGGGCCTGCCTCAGGCCCAGTACCTCACCACTTCACTTGGCTTTATCAAGAGCCTTTGAGCTCTCCTTTTCGACAAGTCATGAACTCCCTGCAGTGGGGAGGAGTGGGAGATCAGGCCCTTTATCTGTATCCTTAGTGTCTAGCACAACCCCACAGCACAGCGTTCAGTCACAGTCAGTTCTAAACAGTGATAAAAATATGAAAGGGGCCATAGCTTAAAATGTTATAAATCTGAAAAATGAGTCAGAGTGTAGATGATGCCTAGCTGCCTCAAGCTGGAAAGTCAGAAGCTATTTTTAGCTCATTTTAACAACTGGGAGTCAAGCCTAACCTGGTGTTTAATTTCAAGGACTAAAAAGACCAGAACAACTGGATAATCTCTAGGAGTGATTTAGTCCTCACTCCACACACACCTGGATACTATCATCAAAAGTCACTGTAGTCTTGTCATAATGGCCATGATTACTAAGCTGAGATCATCAACAAAACAAAACAAACTGATGTGTTTGTATATGTGCCAGAGAAACCATAGTAAATGACTTTGTTCCTTCCAAGAACAAAAATGTAAGACTTGAGGGTAGTTAGTAGTCTACACTTTGAAAGTAACTGGGCATGGATAAAACATAATCTACTGGATTAGCTGTGTATTCAACAAGTCTTTTTGAGCTATTAAATTTGTTTAAGACTCTTTGGCAAGAATTAAGGGAGGCTTAATATAATAACCATATTCAATCCTACTGGAGTTATTCAGCCATTTTAAGAGAAAAAGGGAGGACTGGGAAGGTGGCTCAGTGGTAGAGTGCTTGCCTAGCATGCATTAGGCCCTGGATTCGATTCCTCAGCACCACATAAGCAGAAAAAGCTAGAAGTGGCGCTGTGGCTCAAGTGGTAGAGCACTCGCCTTGAGCTGAAGAGCTGAGGGACAGCACTCAGGCCCAGAGTTCAAGCCCCACAACCAACAAAAAATAAAAAAATTAAAAAAGAGAAAAATGGAATATACATTCATTGCCTCAACACAAATGACAAAAATTGACATTTGATAAATAAGGGCATTTTACAGAAGTTGTTGTAGACATTGAGAAAAAGTAAAATTTCTAGCAGCTCAGCTTCACTGGAAGAAAGGCATGAATTGATCATTGCTACACCTAGCCAAACTTTCTTCAAATCAACTGGCCAGATAAGTCTTGAAACAGAACTGTGGCTTTCTAGTCATCTCTGAGAATGACTATCATACTAGCCTACTTGTACAGTTGACTGTTGTTTTGCTTTTAATTAAAAACACATATACAAGTATGGTAGTTAAGGTCTGTAATCCCAGTTAAACAGTAGGCTAAAGTAGAAAACAAAATCGCAATTTGAGGCTGACGGGGACAAAAAGTGCTAGACCCTTGTAATACGGGAATTTGATCACAAGATATAGAGAAGCCACCAAGATGCCAAGATGGCCCCTGTTGGATCCCTTATCCATATTTCACCCCATGTGAAAAATCACTAGAGCAAAAAGAGTAGAGGGATATAGTTCAAGTGGTAAATTGTGAGATTGAGATTGGTTTGATTGAGAATCCCTGGGTTCAAGCCCCAGTACAACCACAATTTACACACACACACACACACACACACACACACAAACACACACACACAGTGCAGATGCTCTTTTTGTAAAACCTCCTTCTCACTAAAATTTATTTGCATCACCAAAATCAATATCCCCAGAGCTTTCTCTAAAGTGCCCAGTCAAAAGCAAAGACCATTGATGCCAGGCCATGGTATAACCTCCCCCAAGGTTAAACAAGTCTGCTCAGCCTGATTGTTCCCCATCTCTTACTCTAAGCAAGTGCCTTTGTCTTGGCCTACCAACAAAACCTTTTTTCCCCCTAGTCCTGAGGCTTGAACTCAGGTCTTGGGCACCGTCTCTGAGTTTCCTTTGCTCAAGGCTAGCACTCTACCACTTGGGCCACCATGCCGCTTCCAACTTTCCCTGTTTATGTGGTACTGAGGAATTGAACCCAGGGCTTCAGGTATGCTAGGCAAGCATTCTACCACTAAGCCACATTCCCAGCCCTCAACAAAACCTTTCTGTGGGGCTGTCTTTGGTGTGTGGTGTGTCCATGCCTGACCTGGCCGTATACAAACAATGCCCCATCTCCCTCCTCATACAATCAGAGAAGCACTGCTTAGAATTCTTAGGTGTCAGAAAGTTGTGATGTGCCTCAAAGGGAAAAAATCTAATAGACATACGCTGATGTGATTCACGTTAATGAAATCAACCAGAGACAGCCCAGAAAAGTGTCTTGACACAGACACACACATAAAACACCGAGTTACACATTGATCACTCAACAAAGACGTTGGGCCCAAACCTTGCAAGACCCTAACCCTATCTTCACTAGGAGCAATGGTTCAGCACTGTCCATCCACACTCCCTTCCTCTCTCCTGGGATCTATGGGTGCTGGTACTCAGCAACTCAGGGTCCATTTGGTAGGTGGGCCCTTTGGGTGCCTCGGGAGCGCACGGCGGGCGAGGCGCGCGTGCGGCGTGGCCGCCAGGCGGCGCT